CACTGAGCCACATCTCCAGCCTGCTGTTTTATTTATATATATATATTTTAGAGACAGGGTCTCACTGAGTTGCTTAGCACCTCACTTTTGCTGAGGCTGGCTTTGAACTCATGACCCTCCTGCCTCAGCCTCCCAAGCTGCTGGGATTATAGGTGTGCGTCACCGCATCCGGCCAAGCATCAAGTATTTTTTAGATCTGACTCCAACTTGTGGGACTGAAGCTCTCTCCTCCACTCAATCCTGGGGCACATTTTCTTGTGTTTGTGCAGTTAACGTGTCTGCCTGCATGGGTGCACAGGCACATGTGTGTCCCTGGGTGTGAACACCCTGTGTCTGCATGGTTCCATGTGCGGCATTGTGTAGGTATAGATGCAAACACCTGTGTGTATGCATTCCTCTCCACGCACCACGCGTAGGCAAGCGTGTGCACCTGTGCCACGCGCACAGAGAAGCGTCCAGAAAGACAACCTTAGACCATTCCTTGCACTTCCTTCCAGGAGGGGAGGACTCAGTATCCGCCTCTCCTCTCTGTGTTTACCCTGGCACTAGGGTCTGGATATTTATGTCCCCCAAATTTATTTATTTCTCTTTGTACTGGGGGTGGGTCCCAGGGCTTCGTGCACGGAGCTACGCCCCCAGCCCCTTCCTAAAATGTGTAGGTTTAAGCCTGATCCCTAATGCAATAAGATTAGGAAGTGGGGTCTTCGGGATGGTTACATGGTGAGGTTTTGCCTTCAGAAATAAGACTAGTTCTTTTTCTTTCTTTCTTTCTTTCTTTCTCCTTCCTTCCTTCCTTCCTTCCTTCCTTTCTTCCTTTCCAGTGCAGGGGGTGGAACCCAGGGGGTTTCACACAGGCTAGGCAAGTGCTCTACCACTGAGCCACGCCCCAGCCCCCCATAGGTACTCATGCTGGAGACCCCAGAGCGTGCAGTGAGAAGGTGCCACCTGTGTGCAATAGCCCCCAGACACCACCTCTGCTGGGCCCTTGATCTGGGACTTCCCAGTCTCCAGAACCGTGAGCCACAACCCTCTGCTACTTGTAAGTCACCCCACCTGTGGTAAGTTGTCTTAGCAGCCTGAATGGACAGCGACACCTGGCACTCCCATCTTGTGACCAGAAAAAAAGAATGCCATTTCCACTGTGGAAAGAAGGTTCTGGGTCAGAGTGTCCTTCAAGGACAGGGCTAGGCAAGTCCTCAAGTCCACTGATGGTCAAAAATGGACAGGGTTTGCTGAGCGTTTCTCTGGGGACAGGGAACCGTGCCGAACGTTTTCCATGCAGATGTCTTTGTTCTCTGTCCACAACTGCATCCGCCACAGCACGTGGATAGTTCTGAATGAGTTTTTGTTGAAAGAATGAGTGAGCGCATAAAGGAATGAGCACCATCTCAGGACCTGGGATGGCTGCTGTGGACTGGTGGGTGGTTTTGTTTTGTTTTGTTTTTTGTACCAGGGTTGAACCCAGGGGCACTCCACCACTGAGCCACATCCTCAGCCCTATTTTGTATTTCATTTAGAGACAGGGTCTCACTGAGTTGCTCAGGGCCTCACTAAGTTGCTGAGGCTGGCTTTGAACTCGAGATCCTCCTGCCTCAGCCTCCCAAGCCACTGGGATTACAGGCGTGCACCACTGCACTTCGCCGATGTTTGACTTTTTCCTCTGCTTTCCCCCACCCCAATGCCTTTCCTGATGGTCCTCAAGTGTTTACTCCTTGTTATTTAAACGGCAGCTTACCCTCACCTCCTCCAAGAAGCCCTCCATTGGCACCAGCCCATCACCCCATTTCAGTTCTGCCAAGAGCCTGCT